TGTTATCTCAGTTCACTGCAACCTCCACCTCCCAAGTTTAAGAGATCTCCTGCCTCAGCCTCCCGAATAGCTGGGCTTACAGGCACCCGCCACCACACTCGGCTAATTTTTGTATTTTCGGTAGAGACAAGGTTTCCCCAAGTTGGCCAGGCTGGTCTTGAACTCCTGACCTCAGGTGATCCGCCTGTCTCGGTCTCCCAAAGTGCTAGGATCACAGGCATGAGCCACCAGGCCTGGCCCACCCAGACTTTTCTGATAGTTGACTGGGTCGCTTATATTTCAGTCTCTTATTATGAGTGATTCCCTTTGGTCAGCAACATTCTCTGCATTTAATAAACCTTACAACTTGCTTTCATGTGAGCATGCTTTACTCAATGATGTCCATATAGAGCTATCAGGGTGGGAGAGGCCCAGACTAAAGTAGGAGAAATCTTACTACTTGGTAACCTGGGAGCCTGAGGACCCAGCAGTAAAGACCACTCCCCTCCAAAGTTTTCTTTATCCATCTAGAAGGGCATTATTATTTTAATGAAATTCAGTAAACATTTCTCTCTGCAGCCTGGCAGGGGAACCATTGTTAGGATTTACTTAAAGAAATCCATGTTCCAAACCTGGCTGAAAAATAGCAAAATATATATATTGCTTGTCATTTTCAGATGGCTAGTGGTGTGTGTGTGTGTGTGTATAGTGTGTGTGTTTGTGTGAGAGATGTGAGTGTTAAGGTGCTCAATGTTTATTCAGCATTTTTTTGCCTAGTAATAATAATAATTTATATTTCTTGAGCACTTTTTATATTGCCACACAGTTTTCTAACCTCCTCATAACATTCATATCCCACAGCGAATAATGTTTAAACCGCCCTTTAAATATGCAATCTGAAATTGTTTCAGGTGGTGGCTGGATGGAACTTTCTAATTACCTACTCAATCGTGCAAACGAATTGTTCCAAAGAGAATTTTCTGTTCTTAACTCCAGACTGCAAGTCCCTTTGGAATGGTGTAAGTGGGCAAAAATTTAATGATAAAGTTCTTAGCATTTTGTTTACATTTTGATGGTAACTATCAAGTTGAGTGGGAAGACCGTCACGAAAATTTTAGATGACATTCAGCAATTCATATTCACATTCACTCGAGAAGCCTAAAGCTCACATCACTGGTCAAGCTGCCTTACCTACCTGGCCAAAGAATCTGCACAGCTAGCATTAAGGATTTTTTTATAACTTTATTTTATTTTATTTTTTGAGACAGAGTCTCACTCTGTTCCCCATGCTGGAGTGCAGTGGTGCAATCTCGTCTCACTGCAGCCTCCACCTCCCGGGTTCAAGCTATTCTCCTGCCTCAGCCTCCCAAGTAGCTAGGACTACAGGCGCCAACCACCATGCATGGCTAATTTTTGTATTTATAGTAGAGACAGGGTTTTACCGTGTTGGCCAGGGTGGTCTGGAACTCCTGATCTCAGGTGATCCGCCCACCTTGGTCTCCCAAAGTGCTGGAATTACAGGCGTGAGCCACTGCGCCTGGCCAGCAGTAAGTATTTACAGAGTGTAACCAGGGGCGACGAATAGACAAAATGCTTGAACTGTCAAGTGTATCTTCATTATGTCTCCACACTTTCCTATTTCCTCTTCTTCCCCGTGTGCTCAATGCCCACATGGTATTCCCTTGCTCTACACAGGGTTATTCTTCATGTCAAACTTTCCTCTGCTTGTTTTCTCATCTTCTCTTCCCTACCTTTATCTTTAATAAACAGACCCTGAGTCTCTAGCCCTTACTGGTCCTTCCTAGCATCGTATCTTGTTATCTGCACCAAAATCACATTAAAATGGTGTATCTCAAGGTAGTAGTAGCCAGTGAATGTTAAGATGGCTAAGACATGATATGTGCCCAGGGATGTTTGCATTTGAGCAGAAGACTGTGGAATTGTCTGCAAGTCATTGCAGACAAGGAATTGCTGCAAGTCCTTTGATCTAGTAATTCTGCTTCTAATTCTTTTATATGGGAAATCCAGACCATAAGATGTTAATTTCAGTTGTTTTTTAATAGAAAAATATTGTAAATAAATTGTTTGTGCAACATTAGAGAATGGTTAAGTAAATTACAGTATATCCATACAGAGTAAAAATACAGCCCACTGAATGAGAGAAAATATTTGCAAGAGTTTAACATGATACAGCTATCAAAAATTTTTAATTTTTAGTGACATAGTAAAATGGTTACAATGTTAAGTAAAAAACAAAAAAAGTGGGACACAAAGCTATACATGCAGATTTATTTAAATATGTAAAATAAATGTGAATATAAAAAGTAATGGAAAACAAATTACGACAAAATATAGAATGTAGTTAACTTTCATTTGGCATTGTGGGTGCTTTTTCTTTTCTTTCTTTCTTT